AGTCCCAGGAGAAAAAAGAGGCAGGCACAGAAAAAATATTTGAAAAAATGATGGCTGAAGTCTTCCAAGTTTAATTAAAACAATAAGTCTATAGTTCAAAGAATCTCAAATCCATGCAAGATAAATACAAAGAAAACCACACCAAAGCAAAAATGCTAAAACCCAGTGATTAAGAAAAAAAAAAAATCCTAAAAGCAGAGAGAGGAAAAAAAGACACATTACATTTAAGGGAACAAATAGTGAATGCAAACTGTTCAAGATAGATGACAATGAAACAGCATCATTAAAACGCATGACAGAAAGTCAATTTAGAATCATGTGCCAGTGAAAAACGTCTTTCAAAGGAGGTGAAATAGGCCCTGTGTGGTAGATCACTCCTGTAATCCCAGCACTTTGGGAGGCCAAGGTGAAAGGACTGGTTGAGCCCAGGAGTTCAAGACCAGCTTGGCAACATAATAAAACCCTGACTCTACATTAAAAAAAAAAAAAAAAAAAAAAAAAAGCTGGGTTTGATGGCTCACACCTGTGATCTGAGCTACTGAGAAGGCTGAGATGGATCACTTGAGCCCAGGAGGCTCAGGCTGCAGTGAGCCATGATCATGTCACTGTACTTCAGCCTGGGGAACAGAATGAGATCCTCTCTCAAAAAACAAAAACAAACAAAAAACCTAACACAAACAAAAAACAAAACCAAAGAAAATTTTTTTTCATCCAAGCTGAAAACTATGACTATTCATTGCCAGCTAACCCATATCCCAGGAAATGTTAAAGTTATTCAGGCAAAAACGATATCAGATGGGAACTTCAATCTACAAAAGAAATAACAGAATGGTAAATTTGTGGGTAATACATATGCCTTTTATTTTCATAATTCATAATTGACAATTTAAAGCAAAAGTAATAATGTATTATGCATATAACATATGTAGATGTAAAAAGCATAGTAATAATAATACATACAATGATGGGGGAAATGGAAAAATACTGTTTTAAGGGTGTCACTCTATTAAAAAAATTTTTTTTTTGAGATGGAGTCTCACTCTGTCACCCAGGCTAGAGTGCAATGGTGTGATCTCAGCTCACTGAAACCTCTGTCTTCTGGGTTCAAGCGATTCTTCTGCCTCAGGCTCCTGAGTAGCTGAGATTATAGGTGCACGCCACCATGCTTGGCTAATTTTTGTACTTTTAGTAGTGACGGGGTTTCGCCATGTTGGTCAGGCTGGTCTCGAACTCTTGAGCTCATGAACCACCTGCCTCAGCCTCCCAAAGTGCTAGGATTACAGGCGTGAGCCACTGCACCCAACTGAAGAGTGTCACTTTATTAAATATAATGTTATTTGAAAATGGGCTTTGATAAGTTAAAGGTACGTATTGCAACCTACAGCAAGCACTGAGAAAAATAAGACGTATAGCTAATATGTCAATAGTAGAATTAAAATAAAACTTTAAAAAAGAAAGAAAATGAGAAAAAACAGAAGATGGAACAAACAGAACAAACAGAAAACAGAAGTACAGTAGACTTAACTAAAGTGATAATTACATTAAAATTCAATGGTCCAAATACTGCAAATAGAAAATGAAGATGATCAGTCTGGATTTTCTTTTTAGAAAAGACCCAACTATAAGTTATCGGTGGAGATGTAAAGATTCAGATGAGTTTAAAAAGTAAAAACATGAAAAATACTATGATACCAAGTCCACACAAACTTTTTCCAAATACAGAGGAACTTAACTCATTTTACAAGGCCAGTATTACCTCAATATCAAAATAAAGCAAAGACATTGCAAAATAAATAAATAAATAAATAAATAAACCAATAATCCTCATGAATGTGTCTAGGAAGGACACAGACACACACACACATATACACACTCCCTAACAAAACTCGAGTAAATCAAACGGGTAATATATAAAAAAGATAATATATCACAACCAAGCAGTTTTTTCCAGGAATGCAAGTCTGGTTGAAAATTCAAAACTAAACCAACAGAATTTACCACACTGACAGACAAAGGACGAAAAACCATATGAACATTTCAACAGATCCAAAACAGGCATCTGACAAAATTCAATAGTCATTCATACTAAAAACTCCTCATCCAACTTGGAAGAGAAGGACATCTTCTTAACTTATTGTAGGGTATTCTCAAGAGACTTAATGGTGAAATACTGTAACTTTTCTCCGCAGGTTGGAAATATGTCAAGGATGTTTGCTCTTACCATTTTTAATTCAACAATATACTGAGATCATGTCTCATTCAATAAGGCAAGAAAAATAAATAAAAGGCATCCAGATTGTAAAGGAATATGTAAAACTGTCTCCATTTGCAGACATTATGGTGTATGTAGAAAACTCTAAGATATCTACCAAAAAGTTACTAAAACTAATAAGTTAAGCAAAGTTGCAGAATACACGGTCAACATTAAAAAATAATAATTCCATTTCTATATAGTAGTAACACATAGTAGAAGAATGAAATTAAATAAACAGTACCATTTAGAAAAATACTTAAGATTAAATTTAACAAAATGTGTTCAAGACTTATACAATAACTATAAAATACTGTTAAGAGAAATTAAAGAGGATCTAAGTAAATGGAGAGATATATCAAGTTCCTGGATTAGGAGACTCCCTATTCTTAAATTATCAATTCTCTACAGAGTCTATGTAATTCCATTCAAAATTCCAGCATTCTTTTTTGGGAGAAAATGATAAGCTGGTTATTATTATTAGGGACAGGGTCTCATTCTCTTGTTTAGGCTGGAGTGCAGTGGCATGATCATGGCTCACTGCAGCCTTAATCTCCTGGGCTCAAGTTATCCTCCTGTCTCAGCTTCCCTAGCAGCTGGGACTACAGGTACACACCACCATGCCCAGCTAATTGTTTTTATTTTTTGTAGAAATGAGATCTCATTATGTTGCCCAGGCTGGTCTTAAACTCCTGGGCTCAAGGGTTGACAAGCAAATTATACAATTTATATAAAAACGTGAAAAATCTTAAATGGCCAAAATAATTTCTGAAAAAGAAGAGTAAAGTTGGAGAATTTATGATCTGATTTCAAGGTTTATTATAGAATTGTATTTCTATAGAGGCAGACTTAGGGATTAAAGAAACAGAATAGAGTTAAGAAATAGAACCACGCATACGTGACTAAGTGATTTTCAATGAAATTATCAAGGTTATTTCAATAAGGGTAAAGAAACCATTTTCAACAAATGGTAAAGAAACAATGAAATAACCAATTGGAAAGCAAAACAAACAAACAAACAAAACAAAACAAAACAAAACAAAAAACCATGGAGCCTAACCTAATTCCATACTCAAAAAAGTAGACTACTGACTTAAAAGTAGAAGTAAAAACTATAAAAATTTTTCTTTTATGCAAAGATTTCTTAGAAACGACATGAAAATATTAATCATAGTAGCAAAAACTGATAACTCCATCAAAATTTAAAACTGCACTTCAAAAGATACCAATAAGAAGATGAAAAGTCTAGGAGAAAATACAGTCCATTTATCTAACAAAGGACTTACATCTAGAACATGTAAAGAACACTTACAATTCAACACTTACATTTCAATAGTAAGATAAATTTTTAATGGGTAAATTATCTGAATAAACAACTTAAAATAAAATCTAGAAAGGGCCAATAAGCACATGAAAAGATGCTCAACATCATGAATCACCAGGAAAATATAAATTAAAATCACAGAGACACCAGTACACACCTACTAGAATGGCTAAAAATCAAAACCACTGACATTCCCAAGTACTGATGATGTATAGCAGAGGTCAGCAAACTATATCCCACAGGGCAACTTCAGTTTGTTGCCACTGCCTGGTTTTGCAAATCAAGTTTTATTAAGACACAGTCACATTCATTCTTTCAAGTACTGTCTATGGCTACTTTTCTACTACAATGGCAGAGATGAGTAAGTTTCAGCTTAGCAATAAAAAAATGAACTTCTGATACTTGATCACAAGTGGACAAATCTCAAAAACATTTTGCTGTACAAAAGAAGGCAGACACAAAAGACACAGATTCAATTTATATGAAATTCTAGAACAAGCAAATTTAATTTAAAGTGGCAGAAAGCAGATTAGTGGTTGGTTGGAACCAGAGGTGAGGGGTGGGGAAATCTGTGTATAAGGGAACTTTTTGTGGGATGATGAAAACTTCTCTAACTTGATTGTACTGGTGGTTACACTGAGTATATATTTTTGTAAAAACTCAAACTGTACAATTAAAATGAGTGTATTTCATTGTTACTTTAAAAAAGATACCTCAATGAGTACAAATTTGAAAAAACTTTAGGTTTTGATGGGTTTCAGGATTCAGAATTTTTCAGGTTTTTTAGAAAAGTGACACTGTACATTAACTGTATGTTATAAAACATCCCCAACTGGTTTTGCAGCAGCACCTCATATTTAAATATATAAATACATCTTCAGCAAATATGAGTATTCAAACTAAATGAGTTAAGTCTAGAAATAGCCAAGGTCTGTTTTGTGAGCAAATGAGTTTTTGAATAAAAGTAAAGAAAAAACTTTGAGTGCTCAGAGTTTTTTTAAATTTAGTCTTATAGATAAGGTGTTACAGACCTGTATTTATATTTGTTATATATGTTATATTTGTTATATATCTGCCCCAAGAGTCTCGTGTGCCAGGCACTGTTGTCAGATACCTGCAGGGCATATGAAACAGGTAACTCTGCCCTTGCCCTGTGGAGATCAGATGGGTATGATGCAGCTACCATCAGGGGCTCACAGGGTACAGGGGAGTCTGACATAGACAAGAAACAGCATTAAAGGCAGATTCTGCCAATGCGTCAGGAGACACAAGGGGATGGAGAGATTAATTCAGTCTTTCCCTGAGGATATCACGCTAGAAAGGAAGGCTTGGGTTTCATCATGATAGGTCATATATGCTGGACTGAGCCATTTGCATTTTATCCTGTAGGCAATAGCACTTCAATACTTATTAAACTGGACTTACCAGTGATGCTCTCTGAGTCTCTGTGATTGCTATTCATGAGGTTTTCTTCACCTGTTGGTGATATAAAAATTGCATTCTGGGATTGACTCATGCAGGATCCTTTCTTGCTTTGGTTGAGAAGGACAGCTTTGGTATGAATCAGAGTAAAGGAAATCCATCAAGCCATTCAATAATGAAATGGATTTGGTCACATGGGTATTTTCTTTTAGACAGATTTTCTCCGATGAGTCAAATGACATCTGTAGCAATGAGCACTCTCATGTGATTATCATATCTTGGACGGTCATGACCTGCAACAAAAACACATCAAGTGACTAGAATTCAGCATGCCCTCTAACAACAGAAATCTAATTAATTAAAATGTCCGTCATTAAAAATGTTTTCCTAAGGATACATACAACATGGATAAATCCCATGCTAGAAGAAAGAAGTCACACAAAAAAAGAGTACATAGTTTAATATTTCATTTATATAAAATTCTAGAAAATGTCAACTTATCTATAGTGACAGAAAGCAGATCAGTGGCTACCTGGGGTTAAGGGAGGAATTACTAAGGGGCAGGAGAAAAGTTTTTGGAATGATGAATCTATTCATTATTTTGACTACGGTGATGGTTTTACAAACGTATATCAAAAGTGATTAATTTGTACACTTGTAATGTGTAATTTGATGCATGTTAACTATATTTAAATAAAACTTTAATTTTTTAAAAAAGATATAAAGATATAAAGTAATACACTAGTAACATATTGTAGGGTCTATAACATATGTAGCAGAATGTTTTGCAGTAGCACAAAGGCCAGGAGGAGGGAAATGGGCACATACTATTGTAAGGCTTTCATATTAAACATGAAAGAGTAACATATGGCTTGAAGGTGGACTGTGATAAGTATACTATAAACCCGAAATCAACCAATTAAAAAACTCAAGAATTACAGATAATAAACCAATGAAGAAGATGAAATGGGATAGTACAAAACAGGGTTTTTTAATCCTGCCACAATTACATTTCGTGCCAGGTATTGCCTCATCATATGCATTGTAGGATCTTTTACCCACCAAGTGCCAGCAAAATCCCTTCCTCAGACCCTCTCCAGTTCCATCCAAAATGTCTCCAGACATTGTCAGATGTCCCCTGGTTGGGGGGGGAGCGGAATCACCCCCAGTTGAGAACTACTGATACAACAGATGTTCAACTTCACTCATAATTAAAACAAAAATATAAACAAAAAAGTGTTCACTTACTAGATTAGCAAACATGAAGTTTTATTACATTCTTTGCTGGAGATGATGTGGAAAAAGGAGCTTTTATTCCTTGTTGATAAAAGTGTAAATTGGGGCTGGGCATGGTAGCTCATGCCTGTAATCCCAGGATCTTGGGAGGCTGAGGCAGACGGATCACTTGAGGTCAAGAGTTCAAGACCAGCCTGGCCAACATGGTAAAACCCTGTCCCTACTACAAATACAAAAATTAGCTGGGCGTGGTGGCGGGCACCTGTAATCCCAGGTACTTGGGAGGCTGAGGCAAAAGAATCGTTTGAACCTGGGAGGCAGAGGTTGTGATGAGCTGAGATTGCGCCACTGCACTCCAGTCTGGGTGACAGAGCAAGACTCTGTCTCAAAAAAAAAAAAAAAAAAAAAAAAAAAGGTACAAATTGGTACAAGCTTTCAGAGGGCTATTTGGCAGTGTCTACCAAACTTTTACATGCATACATGCTGTAACTCAACAGTTCTACCACCAGGAATTTACAGAATGGATATACTCACAAAGTGTGCCAAGATGTAGGGATAAGGATGCCCATACTGTATTGGTTTGGAAAAAAAAGGCATATACCACACAACTGAACTAAATGTCCACAAATAAATGGTTTATAATAGTGTACATACAAAGGAATATAATGTACTAAATATATGTGCACACTTAAAAAATTAGGAACTGTCATCAGTAAAACTGTTCAATTCTACTTATTTGATTTATATCAAGACAGTCTCTGCTTGGCAACTTGTGGCTTTTACTTATAGTTAATTCATTCTCATATCTACTCTTTACAGGCACCATAAATACTCAGTAAGAGAGTTACCCTCAAGAAGTAGAAAGGAACAAAGTAAATAAAGGAGACTGAATATGGTTACTAGGGTAGAGGAATAGAGAAGCATTTTGAGCAAATCCTGGGGAGGAAAGTTTCAGAGATAGAATGTGAAGAGAATTAAACATTACATGAAAGTCAAAAGGAAAATTTGGTTTATTAAAAAAGGGGCAAGGGACCAAAAAATCAATGATAACTTTCTAGAAACCAGTTCAGCCAAGAGGTTAGAATCAAAGCCAGGCTGCAAGGTGTTGATGAGTGAGATGGTGAGAGTGAAGTTTAGTGAGTACAGACCATGATTTCCCAATATCTAGCCTCTCAGATTTCCACAGATTAGTAAAATGTCAAACACTTCCATAGTTATTGTCATAGAATTTCTATTACTTTGTAATAGATCATACATTTTATTTAAAAAAAAAAAAAAAGAGACACAGTAAATAGCAGTCCTTCCCAATAAAGGAGTTTATAATTTTATGTTGGAACAACAACAACACACACACACACATATATATAAAACATATATGCATATATATGTATATGTATATGTGACACAGGGTCTTGTTTGTTGCTCTGTCACCCAGGATGGAGTGCAGTGGTGCAAGAACCACAGGAATTCTCCTGCCTCAGCCTCAGCCTCCCGAGTAGCCAGGATTACAGGCATGCACAACCACACCTGGCTAATTTTGTATTTTTAGTAGAGACAGGATTGCACCATGTTGGTCAGGCTAGTCTCAAATTTTTGACCTCAGGTGATTTGCCCTCCTGGGACTCCCAAAGTGCTAGGATTACAGGCATGAGCCACTGCATCCCACCCGAGAAACCATTTTTTTTTTTAAGTAGTAAGTTACATACTTGTGAAGACAGAAAAGGAAAGGGAAGGAAGACAGTTAAGAGGGAAAAGGAATAGGATAAAAGCAAAGTATCTCTCATACTGGTCCACACTGATTCTCAGAGCTGTGGTTCTTTTAATCGTATTTGAATCAAAGACCACTGTGAAAATCTAAAGATAATTTTGGGAACTTATACCCACCACTCTGTTACGTACTAGCTGGTTTGATTATGCATTTACATTACCATTTCTATTTTTCAGTTTCTATTTCTACATTTATATACATCACACAGGAACACAAAAATTATATCCTTTCACGTATGGACTCTAGATCTTTGTTCTATAGAAGGGGTTCCCGGTCCCCAGGCAATAGACCTGTACCTGCCTGTGGCCTGTCAGGAACCAGGTCACAAAGCAGGAGGTGAGTGAGAGAAGCTTCATCTGTATTTACAGTGGCTCCCCACCACTCGCATTACTGCCTGAGCTCTGCCTCCTGTCAGATCAACGGTGGCATTAGATTCTCATAGGATCCCAAACCCTATCGTGAACTGTGCATTCGAGGAATCTAGGTTGTGTGCTCCTTTATGAGAATCTAATGCCTGATGATCTGTCACTGTTTTCCATCACCCCTAGATGGGACTGTCTAGTTGCTGGAAAATAAGCTCAGGGCTCCCACTGATTCTACATCATGGTGAGTTGTATAATTATTTCATTATATATTATAATGTAATAATAATAGCAATAAAGTACACAATAAATGTAATAATACGCTTGAATCATCCCCAAACCACCATCCCCATCTCCTATGGTCTGTGGAAAAATTGTCTTCCACAAAACTGGTCCCTGGTGCCAGAAAGGTTGGGGAGCTCTGTTCTAGAAAACTGCTTTTTAAATTAGCTTTGGAGATTTTGCTAATGGTTTAGTCTTAATTCTTGCATACCAGAATAGAGAAAAACAAGTTGAACTAAGAACTAAGTCCACCTTAAGAGTCATACAGGAAAAATGCAGAATTCTAAGGCAATTCAGGAACTGGCCCAGCCTGCAGACTGTGCACCAGGTCAGGGGTGATCTGGCAATGGTATGCTCTTCCCGGGGACTTTTTAGATCTAAATAAACCCTCTGGACATGCCCTGGTCTAAATCTGAGCTCCTCAGAAAGATCAGTTTGGAGTAGCAGTACTGAACACAGTACCACGGATGCAGCCTGACATTAGACAAGTCTGAATTTTAACCTTATTTACTGCTTTTTTGACCTTGGGCACATTATTTATCATTTTTGAGTCTCATTCCACATTGTCAAAATGGGGATATTAATAACTACCCTTTGTAAGAAGGGTCAGACATGAGGACTAAATAAGAATGACAAATTCCTGGTTTGGTGCCCAACACACCAATGTTCATTCCTGTCAGCTTTCCCCTATCTCTCAGGCCTGAGAAAAGGATGATGTCTTCTGTCTAATATTTCTTAAATTTCTGGCTCAACAGCCAACTGTGTACACAGAATGACTACCATGTTTGAGTATGTAGCAGATGCGGTCTGAAGATTACTGCTGAGTAATCTTCAAACAGAAAGACATAAGGACTAAGAAACTTTGCTCCTGCTAATAAAGTTTCAAGTGCATAAAGCTGGGATTATGAAGAGTGATGATTACTAAAGCTCATTCTTTCATGGGTCTGAGGAAGGTTTGCTAATAACAAAAAGTCTTACACCTAGTAACTTTCTCCATAGCAATGTGGCTATACATTTCCTGTTGCTGCCACAATAAATTACCACAAACTTGGTGGTTTAAAACAACACCAATTTATGATCTTACAGTTCTGAAGGTCAGAACAATGAAAAGGTTTCAATGGACCAAAACCAAGGTGTTAGAAGGGTTATGCTCTCTCCTTCTGGAGGCTCCAGGGGAAAATCATTCCCTTGCCTTTGCTAGCTTCTAGAGTTATATTACTTGGCTCAAGGTCTCTTCCACCATCTTCTATGCCAGCAGCCTAGCATCTTCAAATCTCTCGGCTTCTACTGTCATACTGTCTTCTGCTGTCAAATCTCCTTTGCCTCACTCCTATAAAGGACACCTGTGATTACATTTAAGGTCAAACTGCATAATCCAGCATAATCTTTCACCTCAAGATCCTTAATGTAGTCATGTCTGCAAAGTCCTTTTGGCATGTAAGGTAATATTCATAGGATCCAGAAGATCAAGATCTGGGTATCTTTTAGGGCCAGCATTCAGCCTACGTCAGTGGTTAAGAATGTGGATTCTGGAACTACAGTGCCTAAATTTGAACTCCAGCCCCATCACTTACTGGTTGGGTGATTTTGGACAAATTAATTGACCTCATTTTTTCATCTGTTAAGTGGGCCTAATAATAGGATCTACTTTATGGGGATCAAGTGAATTATGAGAGGATAATAGTAGCAGCTACCTCAGAGGGTTACTGGGAAATAACATGAATTAATACATGTAAAGGTCTTAGAATATAGTAAATGCTATGCAAGTATTGGTTATTATTAATATTTCTATCACCAAAGTACTATTTTATAATATTATTATTATTGTTATTGTACCTTACACAATGCTAGGCACAATCTAAGGCCTACTCTCAACTGCTTGATAGCATCTTCTTTCAACCTGAGAAACAATTTACTTCCTGCCTTCTGATGAGTGATGTTAGCTTAGTGTCATTAATCATTCTCTTCCTGTCTCTCTGATGCATGAATAAACCAAAAGCTTATACAGAGTCCTAAATGCAGTAGAAACAAACACAAATGACACATTTCCAGTGCCTTTCCCAGTCTGTGCACATGTATTCTTTGCACTTTTTTCAGGGCCATGTACTTTCTTTGTTGGATCTGTATTCACTCTTTTTAAGAACAACTTCACTGCTTTTCTTTATAAAACAACCAATCAGGCATGTATTATTTAACAAGAAGCCAGCCTTTGTCATCCATGCACATTAAGAAGAAAATAAAGTAAAATAACCAAGTAACTTCTTTTAAGAAGCATGAAACTTCAAAAGAACAACCATAACACATCATTGACATAAATATTGCTGGCAGGACACAACATGGCTAATGACTTAAATAGCTTAGCCCAGCCACAGAACTAATTGGTCAATAGTGAATGCCTAAATATAGGCCCTGTGCCTGAAAAACATCTTGCTACTTCCTTAAAACAGGATACTCTTGCCAAAACAGCCTTATTGAGAAAGCTAAAACAACTCTGGGAAAGTTCACCTCTGCTGGGCATAGAGCCTGGGATTGCAAAAAATGCAATTATTTAGTGAAACATTTACACTGGAAATAGATTCAAAATTTTTATTTTATAAGCAATACTTTGGGGATTAATTTAAAACACATGTGGGCTGCTGATCTGCATGCAGGAATAGTGTCAATCACCAATTCAGCAACAGCTCTCTTAGGCAGTGGCAACCTAACCCAGACAAAAGATAAGCTAATTTAAAAAATGATAATTTACCATGTCCCTACATAAAATAATATATTTTTGACAAAGACAGTGACTCACTAATTGTAATGTATCTGGCTACACTATGGATAGTTTACCAAAAAACCACAGTAATTTAAAAACCAGATATTAAACCACATAAAGACGCTATCATGGCTTCAGCACTAAGAGCTGAAAAAAAACAAAGTCAGGAGGAATGTCACCAGCAAAACCCAGCCTGGACAGTAAGCGGCAGACCTCAGGAAGGCAGAGGCTGCATATCACCACCCAGCTGCACCGATGTCAGGAGAAAGCTACATACTGGCTACATTCAGCACAGCTGTTCTATCAGCAATTGTAAAGTTCACCCTGAGGAAATAGGATTTGTGACCAGCAAATATTTTGTCCCTCTTTTTAATTGCCATTTGACTTAAAGATAAGTAGGGTGTTCAGAACATGAAATATATGGAGGCCGCTCTACTTACAAACAGGCTGGATTCCAAAGGGCTGCTAAATCCATTAGTTTAAACATCCAAAACCATGCATGAGATTTAGGCTTATGGGGTCAGTATTTCCTCCTAGTTGACATGTTTTAGGCATTTTAAGAACTGCCCTGTTTGTTTATAATGAATATCTTCCGAAGAGGCAACCCCTCCCTGACACAATCTTCACCAACAGGAGAAGGGAGTTAACCTTTGGCAGCTAAGGAATCCTTATCAGAGCTTCACCTGCAGATTAGAGAAGGCCTTGAACCCATGGTGCCATCTGCAGTTTTTGATAAGTTTCCACAGCAGCACTTTCATTCACCATGCTTAGTTTCTAAGTTCTTGAATTCTTAACCTTCACCTTTCACTAAACAGGAATTCCACTTTAACACCAATCCTCTGCCAAAACCATTTCAGTCAGTCACATTTCTTCACCTCTGGCTGCTGTCAAACTGCATAGGTACATCTTTCATCACATATGGGACTGCCCTTCATAATCATTCTTATTGTCCAATGACATATATAATCTGTATAAAGTTTCTCACTTTCAAATTTTACACTACTGTATTTCTACCTTTGTGCCCATTAATAAATCACTAGCATTGCTTTTAGGGACAAAATAGGATTTATAATGTAGAATACCTCAAAACTATGCACATATAAAACAAACATGCTATAAATAATAATAATGGCCAAGTTGAAAATATTCATCTGTTGGTGATTGGCAGAGCTGAATCCCTTGCTCTGGAGTATACTTTGTCCCTATCCACAAGGTTCATAAGTTACAAGTTTTAAGAAGAAGAGTTTCAAAAAATTTATAAGAAAGTTAATCTACCATGGCAAAGACTTTCTGTCCTGTAGATTTATACCCCCAAATCATGATACTTTTGGATTACAGAATAAAAGACTGAAAGGACACCAAACTCAAGAAATTGGATAAGCAACTGAATAAGCAATAGCAACATGTTTTCAAACTATACTTCTGGACTGGAATTCTATCTTTTGCTTGACGTCTCAGAGTGACAGTATCAAAGGAGATAGGAGATACATAGAAATGCTTAATACAGCATTGGCTAATATTTATACATTCCTAGTTTTATGCCTTGCTCCCATCACCCATTTTCAAATTCGCTGTTTCTATAAATGGTCATGATTGGCTTAAAAATCTGAATAAGAAAGCAAACTTGTTATTTGGGAGTCAAAAATAATTGAGTGATGGTCATATGTAGTTTAGTTAAAGGAAATAAGATAGCTCAATAATACTAAAAGTAAACCTCAAACAGGCAAACTTCAATCTCACATTCATAAGACAGTCTTGATTTGTTTTTCTTTTTTTAAATTTGAGACAGGGTCTTACTCCGTTACCCAGGTGAGAGCGTAGTGGTGTGATCTCCACTCACTGCAACCTTCACCTCCCTGGCTCAAGTGATCCTCCCACCTCAGCATCCCAAGTAGTTGGGACTACAGGCACCTGCCACCAAGCCCAGCTAATTTTTGGATGTTTTTGTAGAGATGGGGTTTTACCATGTTGTTCAAGTTGATCTCGAATTCCTAAACTCAAGTGATTTGTCCGCCTTGGCCTCCCAAAGTACTGGGATTATAGGCATGAGCCACTATGCTTGGCCTTGATTTCTTTCTTTAAAAGAAAGAGCAGCTTGACATAAACTCTACCTGAAATTCTGTAGCCTCTTAAGTGAGCAATATGTTCTCTATGCCATTTGACATAAAAGCTACCCAATGCTATAGTGATATTCAATGTAACATTGCAAAAGCCTTTTCAAGATAGATTTTCTTATAACTTTTCAAGAATGAAGACTGAGTTTAGTAAGCATTATTTAAATATTTGAAAGTTAGATCAATGAAGAAAATAAGTGTTACTAAAAGGATTATTATTACTAAATCATATTTAATAAAGTATACATTTTATTATCTTAACATTTGACAACAGAGCTTCTCTTAGGAAAGAAATAATTTTTGTTTGGGAAAACACTTGGAAAAGTCTCTTAAGGTACAAGGTAAGGCCTCAGCATCAAAAAAAGGCTAAACTGCTCTGCATGAGACCAGGGAAATAACTGTGTTTTATTTCTCCTAAAAGGGAGAGGGAAGAGAAAGGTACCATGTTACTTGTTTTGACCTCCTAAAAGTAGTAAATGGAACATAGATAAAAAATAAATCTCTAGTCCAATAAATTAAGTCTACCTCTATCTTAGTATCTTGCAAATGACAGGCATTCAACAAATCTCTGCTTAATGAATGAATCAGGCTGTAGTCAAGTTACATCCTTGTAGTCTATAGCAGGGAGGAAAATGAACTACATAAGAACATGAGACTGTTAGAACACATGGAAATGGAAAGCTTTCTTAGCCTAATTTACAAAAATCTACATAAGTTTTCATGGGTTTCACTAAGGGTGTGTGTACATGCAGGGCTATATCAACTAAGCCCATCAGTTACTATGAAGGTGCAAACATTCCCTAGAGATGGGACTGACAACATAGTGGCAAAATTACCACAAAATCTTTAACACTTTTCTTTTTGTTTTGTTTTCCATAGTTTTCTTATTTTAAAAAACATTGATGGTAAGATGTTTTCCTCCTAGAGTCCATACATGATAATGAGGAAAGTTCAATAAACTACCATGGGAGGAAAGAAGTCCTTAGATAGACCAGGCTGAAAATGATTTGATGACTCAGGATCATTACTAAGAATAGCAATTACTGTGTTATAATACAATGATTACAGTGGTATCCTCCAGGATTATAAACTTTTAAAGAGCTTTTTCTGGGTGATGTAGCCAAGATGGCAAAATAGAAAATAACCGGCTCATATCTGGCCCCCAACAAGTCTGCATCTATCCATGGTTAAAGAGCTCTTTCTCCCTGTACTAAATAATCCCATGCTAATTTTTTTGAGATTTTAAGTCCATTTCTAATTTTGTTTCCTCCCTCACTGTGAGGCTATCAACTATTACACTTTACTGTTGCTAGTTTGCCTCTCCCCTTTCTAACCTGCTGTTGGCTGAGAAACTAGATAACCAGGTTATCAGAACACTCATGAGGTGTCTACTTGACTGAACTCCAGGATCTGTTTTTCTGCCCTTGGCTAGTTTCCCAAATACCTCTTTCTTTCATCCCTCCAGCACCAGGGATTTAGCTGGCTTTCTCCTCGTCCTTTGGCACTGTTGGCAAGTGCTTTTCTCACCTGGTATTCTTTTACCTAGGCTAGCTATGAATACACTCTGTCCTTTCTTAACTGTCTCCTAAGAAAAGACTGGTCGTCTTCTATTCTTTTGTGAGAGTTTTACTGTTAATTGCTAGGGGAAATATAAAGTGGATTATAAATATATAAAAAAAGGTTTAGGAAATCTGAACATTCCTCATTGTGATTTTTGCTCTTAATCCATTTATGCCTAGTGTTCCATTACTGGAATGCTAAGCTTGTGGGAGTTATTTATATCCTACTGCTCAAGGTCATCGCCAAGGTCTGATTTCTCGCACACAAAAATTTGCTACTCAGGAGGCTAAGGCAGAAGAATCGCTTGAACCCCAGAGTAGAAGGCTGCAGTGAGCCGAGATCGCATCATTGCACTCTAGCCCGGGCAACAAGAGTGAAACTCTGTCTCAAAAAGAAAAAAAACGTGCAACCACTGGCATAGATGGGTTAATCAGTGTTTACTGACTCCCTTTCTTGGATGATTCCAGAAGATGGCTGCTCACTAGTCATTTCTCCCTCATTATACTGCAAGCTCCTCAAAAGAAGGGATCTTATCGTTTATGTCCAGAAACTAACAGCAACTGGCACACAGTAGTCTTGCAAAATACATGCCTACTACCTAGAAGCTTAATCATTAAAAATACCAACACACTGAATTACAGAAGTAATTTAATGAACAAAGTTGATATTAATATATTTTCAATACAACATCAACTAAATGAATTGCCTTGAAAAACACAATTAAGCTAAGATTGAACATTCTAAAGTAAAACATTTATGTGTTTTATGAAAAACTACATAAAAGAGTTTGGTGTTAAAAGCGTGCTTTATCATTTTTACAGCAATGACACAGTACATACTTTTCTGTAATAACTAAAAAGAACTAGTTGTCAGTCTCATAGAAAAGCCAAACTGAACATTCATTTGGCTCATTGCTTAGTTTTATCACAATTTCCACTAAGAGAATTTGCATATGAATGCATTTAAAATATGCCCCCCATCAAATGAGAAATGGCCAGATATCCTCTTTTAAAAACTCACAATTCCTAATAAAAGCTTCATTTGTAGTCTTTTAATTTTGTAACTAAAAATAAAGACAAATTCAGTGGTTTGGCCTAGTACTAGCTGAGAAAGTTAATGGTTGAAATGTTTTCTTAGTTGTTAAATTACATGCTTTAGGAACAATAGTAGCATCTCGAAGACATTTTAGTTGGTTTCTAGTCTCCTCCTCCTCTCTTCCTCCAGACAGTGTGTTCTTTCTTTTTATTTCACCCCCAGAGACAGAGTCTTGCTCTGTCACCCAGGCTGGAGTGCGGTGGCACTATCTCAGTCACTGCAAACTCCGCCTCCCGGGTTTAAGCAATTCTCCTGCCTCAGTCTTTAGGGTTGCTGGGATTACAGGCACGTGCTACCAGGCCCATGTAATTTTTGTATTTTTAGTAGAGATGGTGTTTCACCATGTTGGACAGGCTGGTCTCAAACTCCTGACCTCGTGATCCACCTGAGTTGGCCTCCCAAAGTGCTGGGATTACAGGTGTGAGCCACGGCCACCAGTGTGCTCTTTCTTAACCAGCAAGCTTCCTTTTGTTTTGAGGTATACCACTGGTCTGAATAACCCCAAAGAGAGGTGCCTATGGTGGAAAGCAATACGAGCAGAGAGCAGGGATTTGATGCTTGGACCCCAAACATGTATTTACTTTACAAAAATGATGAATTTTTGAGCAATCAATTTTCTAAATTGACTTGCATTTTAAATATAAAGATGCAGTTAAGTCCTCCTGAAAAGGTCACAAAACCATATGGAATAGGAATGCTGCAAATTCAGTTGTCAATCGTGGGCCTCACTTCATAGGCACACTCCCATTATCCTCTTAAAATCCTTCCTTTTCTGAGACAATTCCATACCACAACTTTTCTCACGTTATCTCTGACCTCCTATCTGTTCCCCATTTCTCTTATTCTCATTCCTCCCACTGATAAATCCATGTAATCTACAGCTAGCTTTCTCTCCAAACTGAGAATTACGGACACACATAATCTATTATGCACTTGCATACTTGTTGAGACTTGTTGATCAGAGTGTAAATTAGTAGTCCTCTTGGAGAAGGAACTGGGTGGCTGGAAGACAGAAAGGAGAGAGAAACTTACCTTTTATCAAATACCTTTCAATTTTTCTACCGTGTATATGTATACCCAGTTAAAAGGTCATTTAATATAACTCAACAGTCTCTCCTCCTGCCTTCTCTAAACCTTGCTCCATTAATTATCCTTATCTTCCATCTGTTTCACCTTCTTCTTTGGCTTATTAAACATGCTCAAATTCTTCTATTTTATTAAAAACTACCATTTAAAAAAATCTCCCTTTCCCAAGACTTTGGGTTCCCCTCTACTTACTCTTTGTCCTTACCCAAGCTTCCTCAAATACTCTCGTTTTGTCTCTCCCACCTCTCATTCATACCTCAACCCCACTACAACCTAATTTCTTCCGAAACCATTCTCCTTGAGTCATCAACAGTCCCTGCTAATCAGTCCAGTCACAACTTCTTAGTTGTTATCTTAGGACATCCTGGTTTATACTGCTGACTACTCTCTATTTCAACTTCCCTTCCTTGACTCTCTTGGAGAGAGACCTTACAATGCTCATTCTCAAACTCCTCACTGGATCATTCCTTTCCATTTTCTCCCCTTGATCCTTAAATGTTAGTGTTTTCCAGAGTTCCAACTGTGACCATATTTTGTACTGCTCTTGTTGTAGTTGCTTTTTGCCAACCAACCACTATCAGAAATTAAATTCTTTTAAATTAAATTAAAATTTAAAATTTAAAATTAAATTTTAAAATTAAAAATTAAAAATTAAATTTAAAATTAAATTAAATTATCTTTTTAGTGTTAGTGACTCCCAATCTGGCTCTTCAGACAGACTTCTTGACTTCACTCAAATTTTCCACAGGCTGATTATGATCCACTGAATACTAGATTCCTCCATCCCTCATCCTGCCACATCCAATCCATTAACAAATCCTGTACACCCTACTACCAATATATACCTTAAATCTACTCACTTTTCTCCATCCTCTCTTCCACCATCCTAGTTCAAGCCATTATTATTCAACAAACCTCCTAACAGGTCTCCATGTTTAA